ATCTCGACCTAAATATAAATCATAATATCCTTGAGCGTATTTGTGGTGGCCGTAAGAAGAAGGGTAGGAGAAGAGCGGAGTCTGGATGGGGTCGAAGGGGGAAGAGCGAAAGAAGCATTGGTTTCGGGAGAGAGAGAGGTAGACGGAGAGGAGAATGGCCGTCAACAGATAGAGCAGAGAGACGCAGAGAAGCTTCGATCTTACACACAGAGGCGGAGAATTCGTCACTCTGATGAATTTCCCCATTGGCATTTTTCATTGCGGGTCTGATGAACAAGGTTTCCTCATGCCGATGAATCAATCTCGGTTTTCTCCGGTACACTTCAGCATCACTCGAGGATTTTCTGATTTATTTCATCATAATTATTAATAAAATCTTTAATCTTTAAATAATAAATCCGTTTGTGGGGCTGGTTTTGGGTTCAGAGGCCCTTGTCTCGGCCCAAATTTGGCATATAAGGATATGCAATTTATGCGGCCATTTTTTGAAAATCTAACGAGTCCATTACAGGAACCATGATTCAATTTTACATTCGTAATCATATAGCCGGTGATTCATCCCATGATTATCTAAATTCTGCTTTCGCATGTAACCTTGGTAAATTTTTTTTATGTATTAATCATATATTGCTTCATCATTTGGTTCTTTGTTAGATATTCAATTATGAATCCAACTGGTGATAAACGTTTTGATTATCAAAAAATTAAGATGAATCTAAAACGTTTTACTAGTCTTTTTTCTAAAAAAAAATGTACAAATTTACTATTACCTAATTACAATTGATTCGTTAAATTAAAATTATAAAAAAATAAATAGCACATAATACTGTGGACGATTTATTAAAATCAAAATCTATTAAAAAAATCGCTTCATTTAAATAACAAAATTAAAATATAGATATAATATTTTGATTAGATTAGTATTATTATTTTAAAGGTGAGAAACTAAAAATGCAAAACTGTCAAAGTTAATTAATATCTTAATATCTCTTCTTCTTTTTTTTTTTATTAGTCGAATAATTCATAATCTTTGACCCAAAAAAGGAAAACAAGATAGCATATCAATAGGGTGTAGCGAAGGTTCGGGTCTACAGTTGGATTTCAGAACCCTTGACGGTGATGGATTATAGATTTAGAACCCTGACCATTTGGACTCGACAAAAAAACCCTAGGACAGAGGTTTCCAGTTGAACTTGCTCTACGACAGAAAATACTCACGAGCCAAAACAATGGCCTCTCTATTGAAAAATAAAATGTGGAAATTAAAAAGAGAGAATAGAAGAGAAAAATAAAATAAAGAACACTTTTATTACTACATCTCTTCTTCTTGTTATTTTACAATGAGAATAACTCATCTATTTATAAGAAACAACTATAAAATAATTAAAGAAAGAAATTTACAAAGAAATAATATATGATGGAAATAAATAAATTAAGAGATAATTGACACAATTATCATTATTTGTTAATTGATTTTGTGTCTTTAATTTCTCTCAATCATCCTCATAATCATTTCCAATCAATTTCAATCTTCTTAAATATATATTTGTTTCCTTATTTCAACATTCCCTCTCAAGATTGACTTAGAGATAATGCAAAAAGTCAATCTTGGAAAGAATACCTGAAATAATTCAAAAACTCGATGAGTAATTCATTGTTAATAAAATGATCCATAGATACCAATCAGGTTCTTGAGAGTTTTGATCCATCTTCAAATCAGTTCGCTTGATCATGGAATTCTGCCTTTATCTCCTTTTGTCATAGCACTTCGCTTGATCTTGGAGCTTTTTGTGGCTTTGATTCCTTTTGTCATAACACCTCGTTTGATTCTGGATTTTGCTTCACTTCAAACCACTTGGATATATGAATATTAAGAACTCAAAAATAAAGAGAGTAGAAAATAAAAACTAAGAAAATATATATATTAAATCGTAACCAGGCTCTGATACCATATTGAAAAATAAAATGCGGAAATTAAAAAGAGAGAATAGAAGAGAAAAATAAAATAAAGAACACTTTTATTAGTACATCTCTTCTTCTTGTTATTTTACAATGAGAATAACTCATCTATTTATAAGAAACAACTATAAAATAATTAAAGAAAGAAATTTACAAAGAAATAATATATGATGGAAATAAATAAATTAAGATGATTTGTAGAGAATCGAAAAATCAATCTTGAAAGCGGGAATTACTTGAACCTTTTTTTTTTTGTGCTATTCCAATTCCGCCATTGTTTGACAACAATGAACATTGTTCTTTGAGCATCCTTCTTGTCATAGCATCCATGGTTTTTCTTGATAAATTGTTCCAGTATTTTCCAAAGTGGTTCCTTTGTGTTTGAATCCTGCAAACCAATAAAATTAACGTAAGTTTTATATTCGAATGAGTACAAAGACTTACCTTTGATTCCACAGCAAATGGTTTTCACTTCCCCATCATTTGAAGCGTCTTTGTACACTTCTTTGGGTAAAAACTTTGTTGTGTTCTCTCTTATCATCTCACGAGTGTTAGGAGCATCGGTTAATAAGAGAAAAGTAAGAGTTTCTCTCTTATTTGAATGATCATAATC